CAAATTTTCGCTTTGCCAGTGAGATATGGGTCTGAAAATCTGACGACGAAGTTGTGCATGGTCCTTCAAATTGCTAATTGGGAACGCCCTATGATCTCAGTTAGTGACTTGCATGTAGGCTTGGCCGTCCTAGTTTAGTGCATTCCATCATATCTTAGATGTCATGTCAATTGGGCGCACTGCTCCTAAATGTATTGTCTATTTGCCTTCAAACCTTCCGATTACTTCTTCTTTTTTCCTGCATTCAGGCAATGAATTTGGTCACCCCGAGTGGCTAGATTTTCCTCGTTACGGCAACAACAGCAGTTACCATTATGCTCGTCGTCAGTGGCACTTAGTCGACGATAATTTGCTCAAGTATGAGTACTTGAACAACTGGGATCGCGCGATGATGCACCTGGAAGCAGAATATGAATGGTTATCCTCGCCCCAGGTTGGTTTGACCTCCTACCTGACTTGCATGTTATGGTTGTTTTAATGACTAATATGTGACAACCTGAATGAGCTCTACATTTGGCGCTCCACAATAAAATCCAAATACCCATTTCTTTAGCATAAATTGGAAGGCAGGCATCCCAAGAAATGTAATTTCAAGGAGACACATCCACACTAGATGACAATATAATTGTACCAGGTCTGACGACGACCTGGGGACCCAGTGTCAAAAATTTACTGAATAAAGTTTCCTAATTTTCCCAAAAAAAACGTGTCTCCTTGGAAATACCCATTTCTGTCCTCCGATTATTATAGGTAGGCATATTCCTGATTTCAGTCGATGAATTAGGCCTGCTTCTCAGGGAAGACAGTGTTTTGAACTTGAGGTGCCAAGGTTTAGCTGGTGTTTTGGTAGATTTGAGTAATTCCTTTGGCCTGAATTTAAAAGACCCGGTGTCCTCGATGAAGTTCGAACCCAGGAAAGGAGGGGCAATGCTTCAGTATAGCCAGCGCTCTGACCACCTGAGCTGCGAGGCCCTACCGGAAGCCGTGAATTTAAGCACACTTGTTTCAGGTTACCTGCCCAGGCTACTGTTGCGTACGGATTCCACCAAATCTAATACAGTAAGCTAACTGTCCAAGCAGGACTCCCTAAGCAATCAATTCAGAACCGAACACGCGACTACCGGGTTCACTTACCTCCTTGATCTTTTTGGCAGCTTGGGATAATTCACTTGACCAGATTTCTGGTTTATTAGCGCTCATCGGCCAACCGCACCCATTTCTAGCTTCGAGTGAGCTGCGAATCGAAGACGGATTCTGGTCATTTAATATCAGTTTGAACCTCTTTGTTCTGTCGTTTTATGCTTGCCTCATCCGTAGAGAATTTATTTCTGTTGCTGTTCGAGATACCGTCACCTTCAACATGCTACAATTTTCTACATTACTTGCCTATTTTTACGTGCAGATGGTTCCATTTACTTCGAATTGGTTGTGCTTTTTGCATTGTTTAGCGAATATTTTGCCAGCACGTAATTTAATTCTTTTTGTCATTAGCTTTTCTATAAATTTACTTTTTTCCTCCTCCTCTTTGTCTTCTGTATTTACCGTAAACACTGATCTTATCCTTGACAGTTGCCATTTTAGATCCAGTCTAGATTGTCTTGTCTCTGCCTCCACCAACAACCCGATTATCACTTTCTAATTTTAGACCCCAGGGCCTTTT